GCGCGGACAATCGGCTACAAAAGGAATTCAAGAGTGCACCGGATCGACCAGCATGGTTTTGGAACAATGACGTAGCAACAGCGATTCAGTCCAAGAAGAATGCGTACAAAGTCTGGCATCTTAACCCTACGACCGAGACCAGGGAAAGATACTGTGTAGCTAAACGAGAAACCAAGAAAACCATCGCAAAAGCTATCCAAGACAAGACGGATATAATGATCGCGAAGCTGAACACTAAGGAAGGTGAAAAACTCATCTACCGCCTTGCTAAAGGACGCTCAAGAGCAACACAGGACTTCGTAAACACAACAACCTTCATCAAGGACAAAAATGGAGTACTCTTGCACGAATTCAGCAAAATCAAACAACGTTGGCAAGAACACTTCCAAGAAATCTGCAACGTCGAGTTCCCACATCCACCACTCCCGAAAGAGCCGCAAACTCATGGACCTATACCGTGCATCACCGAGCAAGAAGTCGATTGAAGCTATGAAGAAGGATGGGAAAGCCACCGGCCCTGATGACATTCCAGTAAAAGTCTGGAACCAACGTGCCGTTACCTGACTCTTCAACAAGTGTATTGAGAAGGGTGCGATCCCGACAGATTGGTCAAAAAGCGTCACTGTGCCCATCTACAAGAAGAAAGGTGACATCGCCAGCTGCTCCAACTATCGCCCAATTCGCCTGATGTGCCACACCCTGAAAATTTTCGAACGAGTTTTGGACGCCAGGCTCAGAGAGATAGTTAACATCAGTCGGATGCAATGTGGTTTTCGACCAGAGCTCGGAACCACCGACGCCATTCACGTGGCTCGACGCATGATGGAAAAAGCGAAGGAATGGAATAGACCACTGCACATGGCTTTTTTGGATTTGGAGAAAGCCTTCGACCGAATACCCCGTCAACTCATATGGGAGGCGCTCCGATACCAACAAATACCAGAAGCACTCGTTAAAGCTGTGCAGCTAACCTACCTTAATTCCTCAACTGCCATCCGAACACCTGTAGGTGACACCCCACAGTTCCCAGTCACAGTTGGAGTTCATCAAGGGTCGGCCCTCTCACCATTACTCTTCATTCTATGTATGGACTACGCGTCGAGAATCCCCGATGACGCTTGGGTACGCTGATGATATACTGCTAATGGATCGGTCGAAAATGAAATTAGAGAGACGTGTCAATCAGTGGATGAAACAGCTAAAGGACCATGGACTCAGGCTCAACATCAACAAAACAGAATACATGTGCACAAGGCCACAGAGTCTTCGATCACAGTAGACGGAGCATCCCTACCCAAGACCACCAAGTTTCCGTATCTAGGGTCCACACTGGCCGCGGACGCCGACAGTAAAGCCGACACAATTGCTAGAATAAACGCTGCATGGAACAAATGGAGGACTGTCACTGGCGTTCTCTGTGACAGGAAAATGCCGATCCGCCTGAAGTCTAAAATTTACACCTCAGTCGTGAGACCAGTCGCCATCTATGGAGCGGAAACGAAGCAGATGACGGCAGACGAAACGAGAGCAGGGTCTATCTAGAGAAAGATGTTACGATGGAGCCTGGGACACACGCGATTCGACCACATTCGGAACGAAGACATTCGAGACAAGATCAAGGTCCAACCGATCGTCAATTCCCTTGCCTCCTCTCGCCTACGCTGGTATGGTCACATTTTGCGAAGGCCTCCAGACACCGTGTCCAGATCAGCCGATAGTATTACCTTCACTGGTACACGCCCGAGAGGCAGACCCAAATTACGATGGATGGACAACGTGAAGATCGACATGAATGCTGCTGACCTGGATGCATGGAATCGAGACGATGCATGGAATGGGGAAGCCTTGGTGGAAAAAGCGTACCCGACGAAAGTTGGACAACAACGCTAAGAAGAAGAAGTAGCAGAAAACCATTTTAGTAATGTTCAACATAGAGGCTAATCAGGGATAGTGATGGAATTTTGATCAGAAGTTGTAAATTTTCTGAAAAGCAAATTCACTCTTTTTCTCAGTGATGGATGTCAAAAAAGTTTCATTTTGACGTACACGATACACTTCAACACCACATAGAGCTGCGTTCACCTCTTATAGCTTTTATTTACATGCACACGAAAACGAGAAAGAATCGAGGACTGAATAGAGCTGCCAATTTCGTAGCGATTAGAAAACTTCTAAAGCACATATGACGAAAAGGTGAACCGTGCCTCCCACAGTTATGTCGTGGTGTGATAGATAAAATACAAAAGCGAGGAAAAGAGATGCTTTGGATGGTGCGTGGAGCGGCGTCACAATGCCCACGTAACCTGCGATGTGGGGCGCGCAACCGCGTCACGCACTTCGTCAATGTGTCAAGGTACCTTCTACGAGTAGCTGAGGTGAGGAGTGCTTTAAGTGAATAAGGTGGGCCTGCCACTCGGCGGAAGTTATATGTACTATTACACTATACTAAATCGAGGTCATACTGTCTGAAATGTCTGCCAGTGGAAGCTATTCCCTCAACATAGGCTATCACACAGGTTAAGATTAGCGTCGAGGAAGTCATCGCATGAACACGACCGTTCCTCAACCTTTTGGCGACTTTGCGGGTCGATGTGGGGGATGCAAATAAAAGAACTTCACAGCGCATGTTCCAAGTATTAGTAATCACACCTTGCTCAGCAGTCTCGTGTCACCTATAGATACCTTGGCCCAGCGCAGGCGATATTTGGCGCCATGTTGGCGCCATATGGCGCCACGCCCTTTCTTGTCACCATTACGCTGTAAACTTGGGAACAGGGGTAATCGGTGGTCCTGTGCATGAAAATGGCATCATTCTTAAGCGCCGCGCCATGTGGCACGAAGATGGCGCCATGCCCTTATTTGTCACCAATTACGCTGTAAACTCGGGAACAGGGATAATCGCTAGTCCTGAGCATGAAAATAGCGTCCGCTTGTTGAAGCCGCGCCATTTGGCGCCACGCGGGTCTGGATATCGGTAGCTGTAGAGCCCAGACGGATACGCATACTATTTTCGGTGCTTCTAGAGAGACATCGGAAGTGTCTGCCAAAAATTCTCTTCGGGAGCTTCGTCTCCCATTTTTATTGAAATTTGCATTGTTGTTTTACTAAACATTAAACGCGCAATAGAATACATAATCTATAGGTACACTACTCTCAAAGTATTTTCATTCATGATCACTCAATTGAAACTAGCAGCCATACAACACATTGAGATGCTCATTCTGAATTCATTCATTCTAAAATCAAGAAAAACAGGAATTTTGTGTAACCATAAGATAGATAGCATAACATAGAAGATACAAATGCGTAGCAGAAAAACTAGGAACTAGAACAAGATGTGTGTTCATTTTGGAAGCAGTCAGGGCAGATGAATCCTCTACAGTTGGTGCACTGTGTTCTGATCTTCTTAGCATAGTTGCTGGCATGATTCCGACCCTTTTCCTTTACTAGCTCTGGTAGCAGCACTTACACCGACATCTATCGTTGGCCTTCATCTCTTTGATTTCAACCAGCTTTCTTTTCCTCCCTTGGCTAGTGCTAGGTCTTTCATTGACATCAAGCCACGCTTTGACAATTGCGTATTTGGAATCGTTCAGCTGCATTTTGACATCAGCACTCAGGTTGTACAGGAACCAAGCGTTGACCAGAGCAGTTTGCGTGACTAGGTGGTAGAACAGCCTCATATACCACTTTGCACTCCTTCGTACAAATGGTGTGTACGCCGCCATCTGGTCGCTTACATCAACAAACCCTTTTATCCTATTGCAATCTTCCACCACATGAGGCTTCATGTTGGCGCTGCGGCGTCCATCGTGCTTCGACGAAAAGCATGAAGATGTCTCTCTTGTCTTTCCACTTAAGAAGCAGTACATCGTTATTGTTCTGGGGGGTTGCATGGCTCGCCTATCTCGAGTTTTCTGGTCTATAGCGCCGGAGGTATCCCCTCCGATTCTTTCTAATTGTTCCCACTAGGTTGGTCCCATTCTATTATTATATTATAACGCTTTATGCAACGTGACCGTTCAGAGAGATCGGCAACTGCCCAAAACGCGTCACGAAGTCAACATCGTTTATTGCATTGTGATCGATAACTTTTTTTCCAGGTTTCCTTATTTCATTTTGACGCGCTGATTGACTGAACATGTGGTCCTTGCGCTCAACATCTCCTTTCGTGTTCAAATGGAAATCATAGATCAATTCTCGGCTGGACAGTTAGCCTATCTGGTGAAATTTTCCAATGTTTGAGCGAAGGTTTTTCCGAAATCTGAGGAGGTAGCGGGGAAATTCTTCACTGTTGTAGAGTACGCTTACTTGTGTGTAGGAATAAGATGACATACTTGCTTGCAGATGAGCGCTCCTTCCGTGGTTGCCCGTGAGCATCCCTTCACGTCATGCATTGCTGCCAAATTCAGGTTTTTTGCTTTTTTTGGACACGGGTACGAAGCTGACAGTTATGCTTTTCGATTCTCCAGCGTTATATAGCACAATTCGTTGGTAGGTGTGCAGGTTTCTTTGCATGAATTTTTCACGTCAGTAGTGAAGTGAATGCCTCGGTATTGATCCTCAGCACACAATGCCCTTTCCGTCGAAAATAGTGGGATACTGTGTGCCAGCACACATGAAACGAGAGTGTGCCTTAGTTTTCTGTATGACCTTTAGCATAATGCACAAATAATAGTGTCAATCCACATTCATTTGAAAAGTTCCTCATGATTGCTGAATTCACCAAGAGGGATGCATTGTATAGTGAATCCTTCACGCTTGAATAGAGTGAATGAAGAAAACAAGTTTCACTTAATGAATTCACGAATCCATAAACAAAGCAAATGGGCTCACAATTACAAAAATCCGTAACATTAATCGTATTGTTAGAATCTATAAAAAGGTAACTTCATAAACTAATGGCTTTGCTGACCTAACAAACTTATTAATGCTACACCAAACGAGCCCTATTTGATTGAAGTCCGGAGATTCTAGTGACCACTCCATTAGCTTAATATTCATCTCCCATTAACCGTGTAAGCGTATACGCACTTTTGTGTGCAGGCGCGTTGTCCCGCACCAGTACTCCAAACCTTGAGAAAAAATGGAAAACGATGAGATGTAAAACGGCTGATACCTTATCGTTTGAATTCTACCATTTCGAACTACGGAGCTTCAGAAACGCTGACTCTCCATTAAACGTATTGTTAGCAAAGGGCACATGGCAGTGCTGGAATGTTTCGCAAAACATCTTGTATCCAGCATCTAGACCAGGAAGAATCCAGACCAGTTTAGTAACTCCTCTCATTGAAATGCCGCCCCACAAATGTAATTTCGCCGGATGTTTGGCCCGTGATCGCAATCGAGTAAAGTAGTTATTTTTCTTCACAAAACAGTGATTGATTGCACAACCAACTAAAAACGATCTATTTAGGACCATGGAACAATGGATGGTCAACGTATCTGTAGACGCACCCATTACTGTCACTTCATCCGTGAGAATGCATTGACTGAAATCTTTCCTCTTTTTCAATCATCTTCATACAGAATTCAACGTTTCTATTTTTTAGGATGTCGAATCAGGTGGAAGTGTCTTGTTGTTGCCTTCTGAAATCCCAGCTTGTCTCTCAACCTGCGCACCTGCGACGCATTAATTGAGATATTGTGCACTTTGAGAAGCTTCAGAATGAGTGAAACTGTAACCGAGGAGTCAGCCGATAATTCATCGGATTGTGGGAAGTGCCGACAAAAACTTTCTCGGTCAGGCGCCTCTTTGCGAAGTAAATTGCACGAATGATGTTCCTGTAGAAACTTTTGAACTCTGTAGTTGCTGATTACTGATCCACTCATTAGACTTCTTCATGTATCCTTTAGAATGGCTTCCAGCACGATCCATGGGGTGAATTATGCTACTGTGTGGGACGAGTGACATCAGTGACGAATGTGTGATATGCTGACAGGTCCCAAGTCAAGAATATTCGATGAGAAAGTCGATTTAATTGATAACAGCAGGCAGATCAGTTTCGACTCTACAACAGGACCCACTGACACGCGGAGCCTGAATCATCAAAATTTCGAAGTTTGGAAAGAAGCGGTTTCTATAGCACCGCAGCTGAAATTCAGTTTTATGGGCTCACCTCTGAACTAGCACTGACTCCAGAATATGAATGTGTTCAGAAAAATCGCCGATCATATTGAATTCCAGCGGCGAGAGCTAAAAGTAACTAGAATGGAAACAGTGTATGAGTAATTAACAGCAAAACGCAACTAATCAGATATGTCGGGAGTAATGTGGATTGAAAATATGAAGTTGAGCAATAGGACGGTTTTCAATGCCGTAAAGTAGTGCGAGAAGACAAACGTCACAATCTAGTTCCAGTTGTCGGAGATTATGTCATAATTCACTACCAGCTAAGGTCATGATGCCCCCCTAACTGGAATAGACCCTCCTGATCGCCTAACTGCTTACACAACGTTCATCTTATCTTTACAGCTGAGAACCTTCAAACTCTGTCCCTAGTCTCCCGAATCGTGTGTTAGAGATGTGCGCTCACGTGAGTTGAGGAATACGAGGATCTGCTTACAAAAAGCGAATATGAGCAGCTTCGCTAACACAAACCGAAATGTGGCACATGGAAAATTGCATGACATTGACAAATTACCTAATAGATTACGTTCCCGTGCGCCTTCACTCTTGCGACAGCACCCCTTCGCGCTGGGAGTATTGACTGAATGCCCGCGAAAGCGGTATCGATCGATCCGCTCGCCAACTACTGCTGCGGAAATTTCAAAACACGCACCCAACTTGGAGCAGTTCTGTCAATGAGGCAATCACTCATGTCAGTCACAATATTGAGGGGATACGTACGAACTGCTTGCGGATTCATGGGCAAATGAAGCTCTCGAAACATTACACTAAATAATTTCCTTCATGTTTTGCTAAGATGTTATTACTCGGCTTTTTAAGATCCTGTTTGTCGGGAAGAAGACGCCAGTGTGAATAGCACGGCGTTTGAGATTGTAAAAAAAAACTGGGAGTGGGACTGAGTGAACTAGTAGAACAAGTGATGACAACGAGAAGGAACATGGCTGAGATTTTACGCGGATGTGAGATGAAAGTGAAAGCGTCATTTTCTCATGTAGAAAGACGCCTAGATTACTCAGAAGCATCAGTGGAAGAAATGAAAGTAAGACAAAGAAGAGAAGGCCCAGATGATTACTTTGCTTTAATCAGATATATATGTGTTTATTGACTGATTCAGTCATGGTTTAGAAAGCGGGTTGGTTTTTCACTGATACCACAAGAAAGAGTCGAAAATTTGCTGGCCCTGAAATGTGGAAAGCTCACGAAATTTGCATTGGCACTGAGCAGGAATCGTACGAACATGAGCCCACAGAACTCGAACTGAACGTAGCAGAGTGAAGATTGACAGCGAGAAGGGTAGCCTTTGGTAGAGATGTTTGTTATCTGCTTACACATGCGAAATAAGCCGTATAAAGTCTACGCCGACAATTAACTCTGCTTTAGGTTGTATCTGAATACTTCAATGTTCCGCATGACTCTAGGAAAGATGCTTGGCAAAAAGCGGTCAAGAACGCCTTAAACAGT